GACGGAAACAAAGGCCTTCGCGGACTATCTTCAGGTCGTTGACGTTCGGGGTTTCGTCGGTCGATTCCGTTTCGCCTTCTGCAAGTTTTCCAAGCAGGCGAACGGACGCCGCCTTCAATCTATCCATCTCCTTTTGGTCCATCGACTTATGAGAGTCGTCCGCTCGTTCCGGAAGCGGGATTGTCTTGGTATTCAGGCCCGCAATGTAGATTTCCCTTCCTTCCCGAGAGAACAACTCCGGGCTGAAGCCGCAGGATGGCGGCCACGTCGTGAACAACGCATGCGTCTCCCCATGATACTTTTCCTGCTCGTGTTCCAGAGTATGTCTAGGGGAATGGAGGACCAAAGAATATCCAGCGAGTGGATATATAGGAAGTGCAACTTTGGAGAATGGGAACAGGTCACGGAAGACCTGCGGTGTCCACGGTCCAGCGCAGACAACCAGATTCGTACAGGGGATAGTAGACTCGGATTTTGTGTTCAAGTTCACGATTCTGACGCCGGTGATGGTCCCGGCCGCGTTCCTAACAAGCGACGAAGCTTTTGTTGGGTAGTGGAGCTTGACACCCCGTGACGTACAGCTGTCCATGAGGAACCTGCACAACCTCAAGGGATCACTAAGAATCATCAGTATATTTGCTTCATTGCGAAAAGATTTAATCAGCCTTACACTTGACCGGTGGTGTTCTTATCACTGATTTGCTCTACCTTCGCCCCCTGCTGCCGTGTCACCCATTCTGGGACCTCGGGTTCCCCGTACTGACTTGTGCCTGCGGCTGTCTCTGCGCGACTTGTACCTGCACGAAGCCAATCGTCGCCACGAGCACCTCCCTGGTTGTTCACGGAGCCTAAGCTCAGCGCCACACCTTTCATGTAACCCCATTTCCGCCTTCCACCGTGCTCGGCAGCAAGAGACTCGTGTAGGTTGAAAGACAGCTCTCCCAATGGCGCGAGAGAAGGCGCAAACCAATCCTTGGCTAGGAAGCCAGCAGCGTAACCAGACGCAGAGCAGAACAGCTCAGATGCTGATTCAATAACATGGATTTCTTCTTGCGGTTGGCTTTGAGAGAGATAGTAGGCAATTGAGGAGCCAATGATACCTCCTCCAAGAATGACGGTAGGCATGTTGGAATGGGGCTATGACTTTTATGAGGGTTTCCGGGTAACGATTGCGCCCAAGTTACGCAACCACAACACGATTTTTGATCTGAACTTTTGTATCTCAACACTCTCCAGTTGGGTCGCTGTCAAATTTATATAAAGTAGCAGTGGGAGTGGATATCTCCAGAACTCCATGGCGGGGTAGATCCGGGACAGTCGATTCGATGAACAGAGTGGATCACGCCCTTTGAATGATGATTTCCGAGGAACTGTGCACGCTGCCCGCTGCCATTTGCCCTTATCGAACCGGCACTCTTCCCGAGTTGACCGGGCCGGTTCACCTTGTATTAACAAGCATGAGGATGCATCATCTTGATAATGTATCTATCTTGAACTTCAGATAGAGCAAGCCATCTTGCTCTCTTGCGTGATGTTGTTGCTTAGAGATAGCGTTCCGAACTCGGACGGCCTGCCGATTCCGGAGGGCCAGACGTTTCCGGGTCTTCGTCCCTCCCCTGAAAATTGATGGAAAATACATTATCTAGAAGAAATATATGCTTGTGCGATTATTTCAATGCGCTGTACTCAATTACTTGTCATGAGAAGCAAGAGTTGAGACTACCCTCACCTTGAGTGGTAGACCCATACGCCCTACTCAGGGTACCGGAAAAAAGTATAGTTACCCCACGGGCTTCATGATACAGTGGGTTCTCTCCAGATTGTTTAGGCCCTTGGCAGATATTCTAGAATTTTCTAAGACGTGCTCTGTTCATAGAATGGCATTTGCATTTGGGAATTGATTTCTGGACCCTAAAGGATATAGGCGTGGTATATACAAGCCATTTCGATTCATGCCTGTGGCTGAGTGGAGGCCATTGGGGGACTGATTAGCCACATATTTCAATATCAAAGTCGGTCAGTGGAATATAGATTCCGCTTCTTACCAATTATAGAGACTGGAGTATACATACTAGTAGGATGATGCTATAGTATGTTTTATTATTCCTTTCCACGGGCTCCACTCAACCATAGTATATCTTTCCCGCGGGAAAGTCAACCTCTCAAGAAACAATTACTTCAAGGAACTTGTCAAAAGTCTGGGAATAGCGTGACTTGGGAAATATAATAATATCGGTACTATTCAAGTCTAGAAGGTCTATGGCAGTGCATTTGACTAGCGTCATACATAAAACAGCGGATAAATTGCCGACAAAGACCCCACGTTCCCCCTCGTTTCATGAGCGCCAAAGCTCGCGGCATCTCACAACTCTCCTTGTCATAGTAAGTAATATTCTATATCTTAGTCACATGAACACTGAAGGGGATACTTTTCCCATCAAGATGCCATTCTCTTGGATGGTACCACTACTGCCGAGTCGCTGCTCCATACTAAGTACAGAACGAAAACAGGCTTGTACAAGGTTGTGTTCCGCGGGAACCAGTGTAACCTTTCGAATACCTTCGCATCCAGCTATTCTTAGTATACTAGCATTCACATTGTGGTTTAGGTCTATTTTGGCCATCCGCTGGGTCAATTGTCATAGCTCTCTATGCAGCCCTCAGTATCCTGATGTGTCGAGGGGAACCCGCCAACTCCTTCATAATTGTCGAATTAAGGTTATCGGAAGTATGTTTCTCATGCAGACAGCTGCTCAGTATAACACAGTTAGTTCATTTACTCTACGCAGCGAGTAGGTGATAGAGCTCAACACATTCGCTCATCAATCAGGTACTCTGTAAATTTATTAGACACCTGAAGAATAAGAACAATTTCCATGTCCTTACTACCTGAGCCAGATCGCGCACATACGTCACATCTCCAGCAGATGGGTTTGATAAAGCGATCAACTCGATGGATAGAGCAAGTTTGTCCTTCAGTGGTAATGGACGTGGAAGCGCATTCAGAGGGTCAATTGCACGGGGGATATGGCACATGAGCTCTCGTAGTCACTAAACCCTCCGTCGGCCCGTCCGTTCTTGGAAGGCAAGTGGCCGGTCCGATACGAGAGCATCCACCCCCACTCTCGTCATAGCATCCATTTATTCAGCCACTTGCTGTGCAACCAGACCAGTTCCATCGTCACACAAACCAAGCACAATGTCGAGCAAGACTATCATCGTTACCGGTGCCTCTCGAGGTAATATTGTTCAACCCATCCAATATTCCCAAACCTAATTCACCCGCAACCTCAACCCCGCAGTCACTGACCACACTCGCACACCCAGGAATCGGCCTCGCCATCGCGAAATACCTCCTCACCGCACCCCAATCCCACAATGTTGTCGTGATCGCTCGTAGTCGCGAACCCCTCGAGAAGCTCAAGGAGCAATACAGCAAACAGGTCGAAGTGCTCAATGGAGACCTGGCCGATTTCTCCCTCGGTCAGAAGGCCGTGGATCTGGCTCTCAAGTCCTTCGGCCGTCTGGACGGCATGGTCCTCAACCACGGCATGCTCGGACAAGTAGGCAAGGTCAAGGATGCCGATTTCGCGCAATGGAAGCACGCGTTCGACGTGAACTTTATCAGTCTCACTGCTTTCGTAAGTGCGAGTTTCCGAATTTACCGCGGATAGTGATACATCAATGGATCTCCATAGCTAACGCATTGTTATTGCTATCTGCTCAGATCAAAGCCGGTCTTCCCGCCCTCCGTGAATCCAAGGGAAAAATCATCTTCACTTCGTCGGGTGCTGCAGTCACGGCTTATAGAGGATGGGCTCTTTACGGTGCGACCAAGGCGGCTATGAACCACCTCGCTTTGAGCTTGGGAGAGGAAGAACCCGAGGTTACTACGATTTCTATCCGGCCTGGTATGGTTGACACCGAGATGCAGCGGGAGCTGCGTGAGGACCACGCTACGACTCTGGAGCCGCAGATGCATGCCAAGTTTACGACGGTCCACAAGGATGGCAAGCTCCTTAAGCCAGAGCAGCCCGGTCATGTTATGGCCAAGCTTGTGTTGGACGCTCCTAACGAGCTTACTGGGAAATTCTTCACGTAAGTGATCTGAAATCTCTTCATTTCAAAATAAAGCTAATGATAAAACTAGGTGGAACGACAAGGCTCTTGAGGCGTTCCAAGAGTAGATTACAACTAGATTATTCTTATGAAGACAGTCAGTATATACCGTCAACAAGACTCAATATAGAATATATTGCGAAATAGAATACAAATCAGCCGAAAGATGAAAAGCAGGTTACATTTCGGAAGCATTAGGCGTGAACCTTCATACTTAGCATGGAATGTAATGTGATCATCATGTAAAAAAGTTGTGGACGCATAGAAAAAATTATTATCGCATACCTTACGGATATCGAAATGGGGTATTGTGTGGTCGTGATAAGCGATTTGCAGATTCTGCACCTAGATTCTTTGAATAAGTCAGCAATGTACAATGCAAAGACTGATTGGCAAATTCCGAATGTGAGGAAATATTTCAGTGGTCCGTTTGGCTTGGACAGTGTACGTCACCATAGATGGTATGATAGGGGCGACAACGATGTTCATCATGATAATTGAAGGCAAATAAGGGAGAAAAGGGTGAAATACATACCATTGAAGTTAGTTCCTTGAGAAGTTTCAAGAATTGAGCAAGCAAAACAAGAAAAGTGAAGCCATTTTTCACTTTCTGTTGTGCGAAGAGCACTGCATGAGTGAAGAAATCATGAACCGAAAAAAAGCTGTGAACCGAGATTAAAAACCCCAGAGGCGGTATGTTTCTGCCGGGCGGTTCTTCCGTTCCGTGACGAGTCCCTCCGCGCCGGGATTTAATCGCAAGCTATTTATACCAACCAGTTGCTCCCCGCGCACCGTCACAATACATACATTTCCAATCTGGAGCCAACTTCCACCACTGTGCAGAACGCGCGTTTCGCCTAGTTCCTTCCTTGTCGCCCAACATGTCAGATCGCGAATTTAGTGGTAAGTTTTATTCCAGATTCTTTCCTCGCGCAAAATCAAGGTATCGAGCTAACTCGCGCTTTTGCTACTAGCCAACGACGACTTGTCGCTACCTAAAGGTATGTCGCCTTCCTCCGTGTTGTCGCGTCGCATCAACTCCACCACATTCGAGGTCGACGGGGCCGTCACTCCTTGCTTTGTTTTCACCGGATTCAGTATAAAACATAACCGAATATACATCATATACTAAATCGCAAACTATACAGCGACGGTCCAAAAGATCATCACCGAGATCCTACCTCCCTCATCCGGCCAGACTTTCTCCAAAGATGCCCGCGATCTCCTCATGGAATGCTGCGTCGAATTCATCACCTTGATCTCCTCCGAGGCCAACGACATCAGCGAAAAGGAAGCCAAGAAGACTATCGCCTGCGAACATGTCGAACGCGCCCTTCGTGATCTCGGTTTCAGCGACTACATCCCCGATGTGCTTGCCGTCGCGGAGGAACATAAAGAGCAGCTGAAGGTATGTGGCTGACACGCTTCCTCAATTTGTGGTATTGTCCCGCTGACATGGATGGATTACACTAGTCACGAGAGAAGAAGCAGAGCAAGATGGAGCAAAGCGGGTTGTCCGAGGAGGAGCTTCTACGGCAACAACAGGAATTGTTCCGCTCAGCTACCGAGAAGTATCATGCTGCTCCGGAGTAAAGATCACGAGTTCTGGATATCCGGAAAGGCAAAAAGTAATGCGGTTAGTCTCATGCTGGTCATAGAGGGTCTGGTTTCGGAGTTCTTGAGACGTTTTCCTACGACGGGGGCTTGGAGTTTGGGTGGTTATGGTATCTTACGCTTTATACGCTTTGTGGAAAGGGGGTTTATTTTTTCTATTTTCATACTATTTACTATTCTTTATCTTCTCTCGGCTGGGGCAGTTCTTTCGAATACCTTACACTATTTATTGATGTGCATGGCGGTACACGGATGCCTTTGACAGGAGGATATGTTTCATTAGTAGTGCTTATACCCATGGTAGTGACTATGGTCGATTTCCCGGGAAATACCAAATTGCAAGGACTAATACGATGTCTAAATACCTTGCTTGACAGCATGCAGCCCGCTAGGCGTTGGTCGAGGCTATCCTGACCTAGTACCACTTATATTCTAATCAAATCGCTTCCAAGCATACTGACTGCTTGGAACCCTACATCTGGAATTATTGACGGCATCATTTCTCCATTGGGTGTGCCCTTTGTGTTTCTCAGGTACTTCGTAGTGGTATATACTAGTAACCCCGACTCACTGCGAATTGAGACTCATCACAACTACTACGTACCACGTTCAACCAAACCATGAACTTGACCGCTAAGACTGCATCGTCTAGTAGGGCACGGGCCAACCTACGATTCTTATAGTTAAAGTTACAAGAAACAAGAAGCATACTCACTAGCGAAATATATGAAGAAAAAAAATCAAAGCAAAAACATACAACAGAAGGGATTCGCTGGTGGTCACCCACCCAACTACTAACCTCCCGGCGTGTGGCTTAAGTACGGCTGAGCGGACGGGAAGCCCTGTTTTCCACACCCTATGGTCGTATGTACTAGACCTTTCTATGCAATGGGTTATATGGGACTCTAGCATATGTGAGCTTCTACTAAATTGGTGCCTTCTCTTCTGTGGGTTGGGAATGACAGAGGATTCCAGAAATGGTGTGGAGGGTGCTCTGGGGCGGGTCGGTTGGTTAGTGAATGAGATGGGGTGTATATAAAAATTGTTTACATGGTATCTAGAGAGCTATTATTCGTCCAGTGCTGGTCTATGTGCTGATAGTCAAGATTACTGTGGTTTAGTCTCGGTACATCCACTCGTTATATATAATCGGGTAGGGCTTTTGTTCGTCGGGAACAACAGTGCTAGTAGATTGACATTGGGAAAGAATGATTACTCCCCAACTATATGTAAGGAAATTCACAACTGCAATGGAAATACCAATAATAACCCCAATCGTCTGCTCATAGTAGGTAAATAAATAAATGGTGGTAGTTGAGCTGTGGCGTTTTCATTTCAGGCTGTCCCAGGCACAGAAAGGGACACCGCCTGCGGCAGTAGTCGCCCACACGCAACATGACTGTCTGAATGCAATGCCTCAATTTGAACTTACCGAGCAGGCTTTCAGACCAATAAAGTATGAGAGTGAGATTAGTACATCCATTCACTCTAATCCGACCCTGTAACTATACTCTAACCCATTGTACAAACACAATATGCGCTACGGAGAAAGCTCGGCTTTGGGCCGCGGATCATGAACCAGTCCATCGCTATCGTGCAGAGATCTCAGGAGACCGGAGTTTCAGCGTACCAAAGCGATTCCATAAGCTGAATGGTGGTGAAATAAACCAATGAAGCCACTGCACCGTGCTATTATGATAATGTTGACTATGTGACCTTGTCGGAAATACAGATCTTATTGAATGACAGTCTGATACGACAACTTCTATGAGCATTTGAGGGCCAAGTGTGCAAAGGCCTGGTAGATAAAAGAACTCAGGTGAACTGTCATGCAGTGACATCTGCCACCCATGAAGCATTACTCCAATTCCCACCCCCTCTCCTCCTGCTTCGTGGCATACCACTGCTTCACATACTCCAGGCCCGTGTGTGGTCCATATGGCTCAGTTTCCCATAGTGGGATCGGGGCTTGCTGCCCCGTTTCTTGTAAACATGACTTTTGCAGCTCGTCCAGACTGCCTCCGCGGTCATAGATGATGCCCTCTGTCAAAAGGCTCCGCATATCTGCCCTCAATTCTTCTGTTTCCAGAGTACAGACCATCCCATCATCATCGAGCAAAACACCATACCCATTGTGTGCACCCTCCACCGTCACCAATTTCCGACGGACATCCATTGCAACTCGCTCAGCGGGTCTAGCAAGAGGATCGCCCAATCCACCACCTCCCCACGTCACCCATTCTAACAAATCCCCCGGATCAACACGTACATGGTCGCATTTTGACGGCAGGGTCTCCGTAACTGGACTATCAGCACTGCGAGAGTACCGATATAAGATCTTCCGCGAACGCTGTCCCGGTTTTCCCCCTTTGAGACCCCATGGCTTCGTGAACCACCGATCATCATGCAAACTGATCTCCCCCCTCGCTAGGAATCGATAGAGGGTTCGTTGTGCATTGCCTCCTCGGAAGTATCCCGGGCCACCACTGTCCGCGACGCTCTCGTTTGCCTCAATCCGAAGGGGGTAATTCAGCTCGATGCTCTCCGTTGGGATTGACTTGATGGCGGGGAACAAGCAATGACAATCCAGTCCATCGCCTGCTGCTCGAGCCGGAACCCCACCAAAGCCAATCTGATATAGTTGATACCATTCTCCAGTGGGATAGTATCCGGAGTAGAAGAAATGGGGCGAATCGCTGAACCCAGCTGCCGCTACATAGGCATCGTTCTTCTGCCCGATCAGCGCCTGGATCACGTCCATGGTCCGGCCTAGGAAGTGAGTGCGACAAGAAATTGGGGCGGGCCGGACTGGCTTTAGAACGGTGCCTTCGGGGATATGTACTTCAATGAGGTCGTGGAACCCGTCGTTGATGACTGTTCCCGGAGCGGCAGCGGCAATGAGGTAGTATCCCACCAGCATCTTGAACATGGTCTCCGAGAGATAAAAGTTGATGCTGTGCTCGCTCTGCGGAGAAGTACCACTCCAGTCGAATTTTAACCCCCCAGCGCTGGTTTTCTGCATCGAACATGCTACGGCCCAGGGTCCGACGCCGTGGCCGTCATCGTCGACGAAGTCGGTAAATGTGCTGAGTTTATCGTCGAATTGACGCTCAACAATCTTGGCTAGGCCAGTTCGATTCCGATGCAGAAGCTCCTGACAGGCAGCTAGATAAACCTCGGTTCCGAAGCGGGTGGCCAGCTCGGAGATGCGCGTTGCTGCCATGCGACATGCCGTCACTAGAGCCGTTAGATCCGATCGATACCACGCTGGTTGGCGGGAGTTTCGACATAGCAGATCAACCAGGTCGCTGTTCATCACACCTTGGGAGTAGAGCTTGATGCATGGAACCTGAACTCCATCATCATAGATGGAGGTGGCGTTGATGGACATGCTCCCCGGAACCATGCCGCCAACATCGGTCAAGTGTCCGAATTGAGAAGCCCAGCCAATCAACCGATGTTCATGGAAGATGGGAAGGATGATAATCACATCGTTCAAGTGACTGACAGCACCCTTGACCATGTATGTGTCATTGGTAATGAAAACATCACCTTCTTCGATACTCCCCGTCCATACCCCAAGGAACTCTTTGATGAAGCTGCCGAATTGGCCCACGAGCATCTTGCCCTCTGCAGTTGTGATGACGTTGAATTCATCTTGCTGCTCGCGGATAGCAGGGGACATGCTGCAGCGGAGCATCAACTTATCCATCTCGCCACGAATGCATGCCAGTGAAGAGGATATCAGAGTTGCGATGAGCGGATTACTGCGCATCAATTCTACTGCCGATTCCGAGGTATGTTGCGTCGTTGGGGGTGGTTGCTCTGCAATTGGCAGGATGAGAATATTACCCAGGCGATCGATCTCACCTGAATAGCCGGGAAGAATCAGTGTGTTACTGTCCATTTCCGTGATGATGCAGGGTCCTGTAACCCGGATACCTTCGAGCGTGATTTTTTCTCGCTCCCACACTGTCGCTAGCTGCTCTCGGCCCTCAATGATTATAACCTGCGTGCCAATGACGGCCGTGGATGGAGGCTCGCTAGATTGTGCCTTAGGGACCACTGTCAGCTCCACATCTGATGAGCCGTCCTCGAGTATTACGCCGATACGCATCAGCTCGAGTTCAAAGCCAGGAAGACAGTAGCCAAACTGCTGCTGATGTTTTTTGTTGAAAGCGTCTTGTAATACACGGCGCCAAGCCTGGTCGTTCAGTTGGATTTCGTCGTGCGAGAGATTGATAGTGATGGCCAGGGCCTGCCCTTTGTATCGGACATCAACCTCGTACGTGGCAACCAATGGCATAGGCCAGTCTGAACCACAAGAGTCTCTCATTATCTGTTCGCAGTGCTTTTCCAGTTCTTCCACCTGATATCGCAGTTCCTCCGACGAGGTATCTCTCACCATCCGAGTGAAGGTGACGGACTGCTCATGACTCAACTTGGTTGTCAGATCGCCTTGTGCACACAGGATGCCTGGAGACGGAGGTACGATGACTGGCCATGCACCTAGAAGCTTTCCCACTGCATTGGCATGCAATGGTCCAGCACCGCCGAACGCAACGAGTGCAAAGTCTCTTGGATCATATCCCTGTTCGACAGAGACCAATCGAACAGCACCATACATTGTTTCATTGACAATGTTGATTATGTCCTCTGCCGTCTGTCTTAGAGGTAGTCCCATTGCGGTGGCAAGTTTCTGAACCGCGGTATTTGCTGCCTCTGTATCCAAGCAGAATTCACCACCCAATAGGGTATGGGGTAAGTATCCCAGGACGAGATTTGCATCGGTCACCGTCGCTTCGGTCCCCCCCTTTCCATAACATGCTGGACCTGGCGCTGCCCCAGAACTCTCTGGTCCAACCCGCAAGGTCTCAGTGACCTCCATATATGTTGCGATTGAGCCACCTCCAGCCCCAACGGTATGAATATCCACGGCCGGTGCACGAACCGTTAGGGTATCGACCACAGTATCCCGA